GAACAAATTTAAAATGGGTCAAAGAGGAGATTAAATGATAAGGTGTTACATTTTAACCTAACTACATCTGCCATAATTAACTTTATAATTGTCTGATGACAATGTTATTCACATCCTTTGACTGCGGTCAGAGGGTATTCACTGGAGGCTTAATCCACAGATATTGCCCCTTCACTTTTTTAATTTTTTTTAAATAAAACAATTTTAAAATGAATCAAAGCGAGATCAAATAATAAGATATTACATTTTAAACCAACTACATCTGCCATAATTAACTTTACACTGCTCTGTTGTTAACAAGGCTATTCACATCCTTGACTAGTCAGAAAGGATTCACCAGAGGTTTAATCCATGTGTGAAATCTACAAATGGACTTTGGGTTTTCATTGTCTATAGCCTTCTGCAAACCCCGTGTTCACAATTTAAGTTCTGCCATCAGGCCCGCCTTTGGATTTGGGTTTTATTATTTACGCTGGTATCCTTCTTTCATGTGAATTAAGTTGATGTCTCACTGAGATGGCTGCTGGTTTAAAGACAAGTCTTTAATACTCTGTCAGAGTAGACTAAAGAAACAAATTCATAAAGATGCATATGTGTACAAGAAAGAACTTTATATAAAGAGTAATTGTAAATTAAGAAAACATTCCAGCCCAGTCCAGATCATGTCCATAAATCCAGTATTAGCCATATGTCCGACACCAATCTATAAAGTCCTCTTCATACTCCCTGAACATATGCAGTGACGCTGAATGCAGTTAAGATCACAGGTCAGTGGGTAGGAAGGCTTGTGGATCCAGTGACAGGAGTCTTCACATGGCTTCTCCAGCTCCAAAGATCTGGTTCCATCAGCCTCTCTCCATGTGTCTTCTCCACAGGGATGTCTCAAAGGGGTGAACATGTGTCCGGCCTCCAATGAGCTATTAATCTCCTTAGCACCTCCCAAATGAGGTCATCAAGCTACGACCTGATTGACATGCTAGACTCCACCCCTTCAGTCTGAATCCTCAAATCGACACCAGATTATGTAACTACCACAAATACCCCAA